CCAGAACCTAATTTGGTACTTTTATATTGCACAAGGAAATACTAGATATAGTTAGATTAGGAGGCAGAAGAAACAAGACCAGATAAAACATATAAGTGGAACATATGAGTACGATTTACAGAAGACAGTACCTCTGGCATTTGGGATACCACATTAAGTTCAGTAGGTATTCTTGTCTGTGTAGTGGCTTAATGTGTGCCATGACGCAAGTGGTTGCCAAGGTAACTGTGTGCAGGCATGTGGCAGACATGCACTTAGATGCCATAAAGGTAACCGGGTAAAGTCAATGGTGTTAAATTAGATAGCATATAGTACTAGTAATAATCGATCCTAAAATATAACCATAAAATTTGTACTATATCAAAATTAAGCTAATAAAAACCAACTGGCATTGTCACCAAAGTTCAAAAAAAAAAAAAATAATTAATCTTACAGATGTGCTACTCCATATTTGATTTGTTCACAAATGATTAAGTGCCAACATAAACATTCTGATATTCAATCTATTAAGAGAATTAGCAAGATACAGCCAGCCATTAATCGATTTCCTTGTAGCAGAAATGTTATAATAAAAATTAATATTCCCTTAAAACAAGTTACATTATCAATTACATATTTAATACTACACGAGCATTCAACCTACTGTGAAAGTAAAATTAAATTGCCTTATAATGCAATTTTCTGGATTAAACTAAATCTAAATTATGGTCTTTGTGTAATCGAAATTTATAAAAAGCTTTCTAATAAAAAGCTTATAGACCTAACACTCCATACTTATCATTAAGTATATTATTAGGTGTCTAAATTTTCTGCTAGACAATATGTATCCAATGTAAAAAACCAAGTTATCTTAACAAAAAACTATATAAAATGACAGAAATTAGTTAATGAGGATTTTAAATTAATTTTTCATATTGAAAAAGACTTTGTTAGAGTGCTTGGATTTATTACACCATTCATAAATATAATTTTAAAAGAAAATATTAGTGAACTAATTCTGGATTCTACCTTTAAAACTAACAAAGAAAAATTTGAATTATTTGCCTTAATAATAAATTGCAGAGAATTTGGAATGCCACTTTCTTATCTATATCTTGATACATTCATTATATCAGAAGATCATCTACAAGACCCTATAAATAATATTAATAATAGAACCCAAGTGCTTACTGAATTTTTTCGGCTTGTTAGAGAAGAAGGTATCTTATCTTCTTTTATTCTTCTTGATAAAGATATGGGACAAATCACAGTCGTAAAGGAAGTCTGGTCCCAAAAAGTAAAAATTCAGCTATGTTTTTGGCACATTGAATGTGCTATTGATTGAAAAATAAAAGAAAAAAATCATAAAATGTCTAATTATTCTGTTCAAAAAGCAAAAGAAGCCAATAACCAATTTACCTTTATTGATCTCAATTGGCTTTCTACAGGACAGCAAAGTCTGATATATTCTGCAAAAAATGCGAAAGACATTAAAAATATGATAAAAAGACATTCATTACTTCATTCATTAATACCAGTTAATATAAATATTTTCTTTACCTCTGATGAAATATATTATCAAAGTGTCTTAGAAGTTTATCAATATTGCTAGCATAAAAATCTTAATAGCCTTTGGGCCTATTTATGGGTAAACTGGTATGAAAAAAAAAATTAGAAATTTCTTGCTTGATCGTTTTATCCAAAAGCCATTCCTATAGCAAGAACTACAATGATAATTGAATCCCATTGGCGGGCCCTTAAACATGACTACAAATATAACTATAACAGGCCCTGTTTTGATCATTTAAGCTATATCATAACAAAACAATTAATCTCAAATATAATAAATACCTGGGAAAGGTATAATAATAATAAGCATGAGGTTCCATCTTGGTGAAAAAGCTTTAAGAGTAGTTGGAAAATAGGTCTTGAAAAGGATATCGAATTTCTAGAAAATTATTATGTAGAAACTAATAAATGGATTTGTTTTTGTCTGGCTTTCATAAATAATCCATATTTTATATGTAAACACTTAATACAAACCTATATTACAAATAATTCAAATTTTTTTTCACAATTTCTAAACACAATTCACAACATTATTATCTTTTACTCTACTTTGAGAAAGATAAAATTCCAAGAATTAATTCAGTTAATAATCCTTGAAATAATTCTTTACAAAACCTTTTAAATAAATCAACTAATATACCTGAAATATCTGATAAAAATAGATCAATTACATACTCTTGATATAATATTATTGAAGAGTAAAAGGCTAAATTAGCTCTAGATAAAAAAACTTTTAAATCTTTAGTATTAATTGTTGAACAAAATATCGATAATAACAACTTTTATAACAAATATAAAAAGCTTAAAAAAAATTTAATCAAAGAAACTTTAGCCTGTAATGAAGCTCTAAATGCCAGAATACAACAGCCAACTTGGAGACCACCCAAAAATCAAAAACTAGCATTTGGTTAAATTAAAGAGTATAAATTTACTTCAAAAAATATATTTATATATAAATAAAATTTAATACAATAGTTATACTTTAAAATTTTATTCATCTTGTTTTAAAAAAAAATAAAGCTATATTTGCATGCAACTGAATAATTATGCACAAACTTTAACTTTAAAAGTAGAGTATACCTGATGGTATAGTTGTGATTAAGTGAGAATAGTATGAATTTATTTTACATGAATAATATAATTTACATTTAATTATCATCTACATTTAATGAAATTCGATTATCGATATCATTTTATTATAAAAAATTTTGACCAATGAAATCTGATTATGCATAATGATCATCATATAACTGCTGATTTCTTATAGCACCACTAACCCACTAATTTTATTTACCCTCTGAGGCATTATTTGGGCTATTCAATTCGAAAAGAACCAATAATTAATTTAGCTAAATGTAAACAATAATATTTTTTTTTTTTTTTTGACTAAATTAATTATTAGCTCTCTTCAAATTGTATGCTCAAAATAATGTTTCTGGGCATTATTTTGGGTGAATACAGTATTTGTTTGTTATCTTGGATTAGTGATTTGTAGTATAAGGCTATGTTGTTTATTACACATGGCTTATATAGGGCTTGAATGAGGCTATAGTCACAATACTAGGAGAATAATATCAGTAAACAAATTTAGATTAATATATTTATTTTATATACAATAAGCAAATCAATGATGAATGATGTGATAGAATCTTTTAGATAATTTGAATTAAATAACTTCTGGAATAAATATGACATATAGAGAAGTAGAAAGACTTTGTCTAAGTACTTAAACTATTAAAGCTTTAGATTATGTTACAATATGTAATTAGTGATTAATTATTAGAGCGCACCACTTTTTTATAAAGATTTGTGAGTATTAAACTCTAATTGAGCACTTTATTAAGATAAAATTCTATTTTTCTAAACAAATTTCTATTAATTATTCTAGATGTGACATAGTTCTGTGATTAAGCTTATTGTTACAATAAGCATATTTGTAGTATTACAAGAAGGGTAATTCTATTTTGACCCAGTTTATTTTAACCCATCACATGATCTTGAAGGGTAGTTCTATTTTGACCTAGATTATTTTAACCCATTATATAATTTGTGGCTGGTGTGGCTTGATAATTTTTTAAGATTAGTAACACAGCCAAGATTCAGCAAACCAAATTCTGGGTAAAAAACTACATTAAATAGGTTGTCTAAATAAGGATTGAAACATTTAATTACATAAATTCAGTTCATAATTTTAGGCCAGTTTGGGTTGGTCTTGGACCAAAATTATATTAATACTGTTTAAATTAAACAGTTAACATGGCTAAACAACTAAATGGTTAGAAGAATTCTAGGTGGTTCCAGTCTCTAGTTGCTTAAATGATAATTTGCCATGTATGACCAAAGCTGATATTATTACTTAATGTTGATAAATTCTGTTATGCCACTATATAATACATCCTTTTTCAACAATCATTTTTGGGGTTATATATGGTATACCACTAATGCATCCTTTTTCAACAATTAATTTTTGGGATTATATATGATTAGCTTAAATTTGAAAAATTGATCGTAATTGAATGTTTTAAATAAGCAATCAGCAATATAAACTCCAAAGAATCTAGAATTCTCAACACCTTTGTATAAAACTAATACACCAAGAGTAATATGTACTCTATTCTGTGCATGCTTCTGAAACCTAAGTCACTATGTACTAAATTTAGCTTATCTCTATATTCTATATAAAGTTATTAAGATTTCTTGCTATGTACATACATGCATACTTATAAAGACAGTACTAAGCTTTTATATAATAATCCCTACTTGCTATTTGGGGATGTGCAAGGGTATCATTTTTATATAGATCTTATTGTTTATCATTACATTAACTCTGCAGAGAATATGGTTTTTTAAATTCTCACTTCAGTGCAAGAAATCTAAAAACTATAATCTCTATAGAGTTAATGTAACATATAATCAAGTAGTATATTGAGATCAAATGTTTCTTAAATTATTGACTTCAGGACTTTAATAAGTACTACCCATTAACTCTATGAAATTGACAACTTAATAAAATTGCTTTGAATATTAATACTTGGATTTAACAAACATGATTACCATATAGTAAAGCTTGTATATATTATATACCTATTGGATATTATCCGTGAAGTTAACAGTTAATAGGTCTTATAACTGTATATATCACTATTATCATCATTAAATTATATCAATTTATTGAATACATTCATTATGGCTATCGTCATAAACTGTTGTAATGAATTAATATCCTTTATACGATTTCACTAATGCAGTAAGCTTAATTGCAATTGCAACTTATCTTCTGAGTACCTTTTTACTTACTAAACTTTCATCTATTTTAATTTACTGAAATGAATTCAATGAACTTACTTGCTTCAGATGGAACTATTGTAGGCATGGCAGTTCTTCATGAAAAAAGTAATCAATTTCATAGCACATCAATACCTCTTTCTTATTGCGTACTTAGTCTATCAAAGTATATTAGTCCTTATCCTCTTGAAATCCCAGATCCATTTGAAAATTATACTGAACTTTCTCAACTTAGTATTGGGGAATTGTTTCTTTGGTAACGTTCTTTATTGCATTCAGATTTGGACACAAATTAACCTATAGATCAAGAACTGTCACTATCTATTAACAATAATAAAGAGTTCTCTGATGATAATTTAGCTGAACCATCAATAATAGTGGGACACACCTTTGCTGAATGGTGTGATGTTGAACAATATATTAACGCTTATACCATTACGCAAGGGTTCGCTACAAGACTTGGTCGCACAGATAGAAATATGGGCTTAATAACTAGAGCAGATATAATTTGCTGACATGCTAGTACTACAAGTAATAAAAGCACTAGATTATGAAATACAAGGAGTATTGCTATTGGTTGTCTATTTAAAGTAACAGTTCATTGGGCTAAAAATGAAAATAAATATCATATAAAATTAGCCAATCTTGAACATAATCACTCTATGGATTCCGCAGTAGTTATATTTGATCCAGGCTATCAAAAGTTAAGCAATAATAAGAAGGCTCAAATTCAGGTGCTTCACAATAGTGATGTACTGATACTTACAATTATCAATATGTTAACAGAAGAATATAGTTGATATATTCATAGCAAAGATGTATATAATGCTTTAAATTATCAGGCTCGTAATCGCATTAAAGGTTTATCACAAGTTGCTAAACTATTAAACAATTTGCAAAATAAGGATAAATATAAGATTACTTATTCTGTTAAAAATAACAGACTTTATAGTCTATTTTTCACCACTTCTGATTCATTAATGACATTCGAGCACTATTCAGAAGTTATATTAATGGATTCAACATATAAAACTAACCGTTTTGGAATGCCACTTTTACTTATTAGTGGCATCGATGCAATGGGTATTACATTTTTAATTGCAAGTAGACTTATTTCTGATGAAACTGTATTGAGCTTCTGTTGGGTTCTTTAGCAATTAAAGCAAATAGCTGGCAATACAATTATAAACAAAATTCAAACAATTTTGACTGATAAAGATCTTGCCTTACTTTCATCAATTCGTAATAAGTTATCACATGTCAAGCACCAACTCTGTATTTGGCATTTAGAGCAAAATCTAATTAAAATCTAACTAAAAAGCTTGGTAATAATTTTACTGCATTCAGTAAAGATTTCAAAACTACAATGATACAAAATACTGAAGAATTATTTAACCTAGCTGGGATCAACTTTTAATTATGTATCCTGAAGTTGAAAGTTATATAAATGAACAATGAAACCTTTTTTATATATGTGGGCATATTGTTTTACTAATAAGAATATTAATTATGGAATAAGAACAATACAGCGATCAGAAGCTAGCAATGCACATTTAAAACGCTTACTTAATACTATAGCTCCTTTGCCAGAATTAATAAGTAAATTGGATAAATTGTCTTGTCAACAACTTCAATATTCACAATATCAACAATACTGTATATGTGGAAGCACTTATCAAAACTGTCCTGAATTGCTTAAAAATATTTCATCTATAGTATCAAATTTTACATATTCACTAATACTAGAACAGTATAATTTGGCCAAAATTAAAGCCTATTCTATTGAAAAACAAGATAGAACATTTAAAGTTTATTATAGTAACAACTATAAACATGCAGTAGATCAAACTGATATAACTTTGGTTTGTAGTTGTAATTATACTACTCAATTTTCTTTGCCATGTCATCATATTATCGCTATTCATATTGCTATTCAAAAAGCAATAAGTGTTAATTATATTGGCAAATGTTGGAGAGTAGACTTACATAATTCAACTCAATTTAGACAACAAATTACAAACAATGACTTTTCAGCAACAACCTTTGGGTTAGTATCAGATACTGATTTTATACCATCTGCCAATTCTACGTCAACTATCAATTTTACACAAACCACTAATTCTGTTGAAACTGCTGAATCTGTGTCAATTGCATCAACTATTGTTTTTGCTGATTCTAATAATCAAGAAATGTCAACTAAAAATACTGTTGAGCTACTGAAAGAAATTGAGTCAATTTGTAATTATGTGGGCCATATTCAAATTAATGATGACTTGACTCTTTTTGTAAATCAACTAAAAAACAAATATTCATTATGTCAAGATGATATTGAAGATCCTATGCTTATAAAAACCAAAGGAAGGCCAAGTAGTACTAAATGCAAAAGAACAGGTACTGAACAAGCTATTAAGAAAATATACATATGTAGTATTTGTAGTGGTGCTGGCCATAACTCAAGAAGCTGCCCAAAGAAATAACAATTACATATATCAAAATTTGAAAAAAAGAACAATAGAACATATATAAATACTGGCTTATTGTTTGTTGGTATATTATATTAGTTTAAACATGCATTAGTTAAACAATTTAAATTGATATAACACTGGTTATATAAATAGTTTGTAAATAGATAAAAATCTAAAAAATGTATTAATCTTTTAAATTAATCAAATAGAAGCTATTACTGCAATTTTATAGTTGAAAATATCAACTTACTCAGTAAAATAGTATCATTAAATACAGATTTGATAGTTATATGTATATATAAAAATCATTCTGGCTAATATATGATCATCAAATTTTTACTATAATTATTGGAAAACAGATAAGAGTAACAGTAATCATATAATTCTGAATAGATAATCAGTAATATAAGAAAAGTGTAGGCAGGGTCTCTGTTTAATATAAGTACTTTTTCATTCTCCATCATCCCACTTCTTACCCGTAAATAATAGGTAATGCTGTTTAATAAGTTTTAATGATACTAGTAAACAATAGTGGATTCTGTAGCAGTACGAGGGTCTTATATTTTGGTAATTAGGCTCTGTGACTACAAGACTTGTGGATAAGTAGCACCCATATCTATACTTGCTGGCAAAATAGCAAAACCTGGACAAATTCAAAAAAACAATTGTTATTTATAAAAAATTGAATCAAAAAAATAGTATTGAAATTTTGCTAATATATTATATATAACTATAAGAATATCTGATATTAGTTTGATTGAGGATTATTAATTAAATTTTTGAGATATGAATTTGGCCAGAGTTTGGGATTTGGGTACGAACAAACTAATTTTATAATAGTTTGGGATTTTGCCAACAAGTATACCCATATCACTATATAATGTTATACAATCAATTCTCATTATAGCTATATCAATATAATTCTTGGCTACGTTCTCTATACAAAGATAGAACTAGTTAATTCTAAATTAGCCTGTGATATGTATTCTTATAGCCATATATATGAACAGCAGAGACCATTAATGTTACACATATACATATTAAAACTGGTGAAGGATTATATCTATCACAATTGAATCCAACATAAATACTTTAATTTGTGATTGATCACAGGTAAAAGGGATTCATTTTGGATCTGGCACTGTCTCTGTTGTAATATATATGTAATTTGGCAATTGATTATAAAGTGTGATCAGTTAGTTGGGAATGAAAATATTCTTTTAGGATTGTAGATATGTATAAGGCACAAATAAAACAATAATAATGTACTATATAATAAGTTAGCAGTTAAATCACTTATTACAAAATTTAAAAAATTTTTACAGTACTTCAGTAATACTAGCCACAAAATCACATGACGGGTTAAAATAACTCGGGTCAAAATAGAATTTCACTTACAAGAAATAAATAATTGTCCAGTTCTCTTAAAAACTATTAAAGTATAATTTTATATTGAAATTTTACAAGCCAATTATGTTTAGGTTAAGTATAATTATTTATATCACAACTACTATAAAGCATTTTGCTTTTGTATTTATATAGCCACATTCTGTTTTATGATGCTTTCTACATAACTTTTATTAATTCTAATTTGAAAAGTTTATTTAGCCTTGTCATTAGAAAATTTTAATTGCCTTGTAAGTAGTTTCAAGAACATCTAAAATTTTTGTAAACTTGTATGCGATGATATTTAGTTAGATGTTTTTGAAATTTAATTAAGTTAGCTATTCAATAAAATGAGTTTATTATTTATTGGTCAAGTTAATTCTCTTGATTTTAATATGTAATATACTTAATTAGAAATAATTTATTACATATTAGTTTTATATTATTTTGATAAAAAGTAGAGATTGCTATTTAAAAAAATATATGTAAAGTATATACTTGGTATTTAATATGATTAGTATAATTGTTTACCAAGCATATATAAGTACATAATTATATATTATAATTAATGGCATGCTTTTTAATTCAATGGCATGCCATAGGCATGCCAGTATGGCATTGGAGATATATGTCAACTAAGTAAATTAAAACTATATGTGGTCGCTTATAATTTAAGCTTATAAAATTTTTTTTGATCAAAATTATTAATCAGTGACACGCTTATATATAAATATATAAAATTGACATATCTTTTTTTAGATGCGCAAGTTGCAATTTTCTATTTTAGCAGAAAGTTTTAATGCAAAATAACACTTTCTCAATCTGTTAGCAAAGTTATAGAAACATTTTTCATATTATATATGGAAGACGAAATTTTTTTCTAAATTTAACTTTACTTCATTTGTTCATTTGAATAATCTGAGTGAAACTTAAACTGCTGATAAAAATTTTTTAATTAAATATAAAATTTGGCTCTGTAACTCTCATTGTAAGGATCTTTAATTGATTTATTCCAAATTTGGATTTCTAATTATTAGTCATAAAGGCCCTGCATCTAATTAAGTGTTATTATAATTATCATTATTGCATCAATAGGGATTTATAAATCATATAAACATCGATTTCAATTAAAAAATGTCTATTTAAAAAAAAAGCAAAAAAGGCAACTATTATCAAGCAATAAAATAGTATCAAGCAATGAAGTAGCATCAACCAATGAAGTAACATTGACTATTGAAAGTTCACAAAAAAAGCAGTTAATTTCAACAATTCAGGAATTACCCAATAAAGACATACCATTTGCCAATAGTCTTATCTCTTTAATGAAATATCCAAAAGGTCCAAATAAAGGAAATATAATTTCTCTATACTTGCAATATAAAATGTATAATTATTTTACTCAAAGTTATTACAAACATAAGTCTAATTATCATTCGTTGCAAAATTCAAATTCATAGCTAGATAAAAATAATAAAAAGCTTATTCAACAAAATCAAACATTTGTTAAATAAACCCAATCTCTAGGAGCACAAGTCCATCATCTTAGAGATCAGAAATCAAAGCATATTTCAGAAATCCATTCTCTTGTTCGGCATTCAAAGCAACTTAGTAATGTAGAATTTCAACAAAAAATAAAATCATTATTTAAAATAAATAAATGTGAATATTCATCAAACACAATATAGCTTGCTACTAGTTTTCTACAAGTGGGTCGGATGTTCTTACAATCTACAGTTGAATGTATAAATTTAGTTTATGAGTTTTTAATTGGGGAATTACCTCAAGATTGGCTTTCAAGATTATATCTATAAACATGGCATTATGACATTTCTGAACTACTTATTAACAAACAAATTCATCAGGCAGCAAATGTTCCTGCATTTGGAGTTATAGTAGATGAATCTATATGTGGACAAATAAAAAATTTTATTATTTGCTATCAGTTCTGAAATGAAAGTGAACAAGCACTTGTTGCAATACTTTCTGAACTAAAAAACATTTTAAAATGTAATGCTGAGACAGTATCAAATTCTGTAATAGAGAATATTAAAATAAGTGGATTGGATTTTAACAAATGTGCTTTATGGGTAACTGACAATACATTGTATATGTTAGGAGATAAAAAAGGAGCTGTAGCTCTTTATAATAAAAAAACAAATTCATTATGTGTTGGTTGTAGACTTCATATAATACAAATTATAATAAATCATTTTGAATAAGAAGCATTTGGTGCACTTTCAAGTAGTACAGGATTTTCATGACAATCACACCCTTACAATTTACTATACTTAGCTTGGAAATTGCATGATAGTTATAATTCAAGCAACAAAAACAAACCACTCAATATAAATTCATAAGTAATTACCGATTTGTATAATAGTCTGCTTGGATACCATTACAACCAATATCAATTACCACTTCAGTTACATTGGGGTTATGAGTTACAAACAACCAAACAATTTTTAAATTATCATTTAGCACATATTGAATTTGCACAATGGTTTATTAATGAAATGAAAAAGTTTAAAAATACACCAAAATCATATCTTAATGATTGAATTCTTTTTCAATCATTACTTCTTGATACAAAACTTTTTATTCAAATTAAATGCTTAGTAAACTTTGCTAAACATTTTTATGAGCCGTTAATGCAGTTTGTAATTGGTCATGACAATGTTGTATGAATTTATCAAAATGGGCAGTTGACAACTTTACCTCCGGGCAGATGAGCACATTAAATGCCAGATAAAGTTTACAAATAGCATAAATTTCTTAAAAATCTTGCTGAAAATTTCGAAATATTTTTTGCCAATGAACTTTTAGAGGCTCTTGATATATTATCTAATGAAGAATTCGAAACATTTTTTAATAATTTAGAGAAAGGAATTCTTAAGACATTAGAATATTTTGAAAAATAGTTTTTATTATGCCTTTATTTACTACTTTCTGTTTGCTGTCTTGGTGGTAGCAATGCTAGATTTTTTGCATCTAGCTTTTATCATATAGTTCTAAAAAAACCTTGGATTAAACTATCAACAGATCTAAAATTGCAATATGCAAGTGAGCTTGATGATGATCTAAAAAATGGATTAACTAACAGTCTTGGATTGCAAGAATTATTATTAAATGATCATAATTTTCTTAAAGAATATGAACAATTTTGCATTAATGATAACTTTTATATATATCATTTTCCTAAATTATATGATTTTGTCAAAACTCGAATCTACTTCATTATAATTAATCAACAGCAACTTAAAGGTCTTTTTAACAAATTAGATCTAAAAACACATCCCAATATGTTAATGTCAACAAAGCAATCTAAGCTTTATTTATCTTTAAGCAAAGTCTCCAAAGAAAATTATTCAGATGAATTAAATGAAATAAGGGGCCAAGAGAAATCTTAATAAGAAGAAAATGCCACTTCAAGAAGTACAATTACAATTTGGGCCTGAAATTGCTTCAAATATTTTTAATAAACTATTAACGTAATTGTTTTAATTAATGTATTTTACATAAAATGCAATATTTGCTAAATTAAAATAAAGATCTATATTTATATTACACAAAAAAAATTAATTATAAAATTTTTATATAATACCATATATAGTTTTAATTTACTTAGT